GTTGTTCATCTCTGTGTGCCCTGCGATTGGCTGGCAACTGGTTCAGGGTGTCCCTCGCCTACTGCCCGGAGACAGCCGGGATAGGCTCCAGCACCCCCTGCGACCCTTGCAGCAGAAGTATTATTTTTTGGGGGGATCTGATGCTCAAGTGTACTTTATGTTGTAGTTGCCATTACGGGGTGTGTGTGTGTGTGTGTGTGTGTAGTTTGTCACGTAGTAGTGACGTGCTTCGTGGCTTTTGGAAGATGACAGTGAAAATAAGAAGGCGGCAGTTTTATGGCTTGATTATCGGACCACGTCGTGCACGAAGCTTGACGCTCTCCATGGACGTGGTCTGCGGTCAAACACTTCAAACAAGATGTGCTCTGCATTCAATCTCCCAGATGTTTTACCCAAGGCACCATTCACACGACGATGGCGTTTCACCATGCGGAGCTTTATCGGATCCAAAAAAAAAAAAAAAAGAAAATGTGCTGTCCTGGACAACATCAAACAGATGCCTCACCTCCCGTCTGTCATGTCGCCCGTTTCAGGAGGTTGGACCGAATCCGTCGCGAGATGTCGACGGACTCCGTCGGAGGCGCACCGGAGCGCGAAGCGGCTCTCGAACCGGCCCTGGAACCGGTGCTCCCGTCAACTCCGCCCCCCTGGACCATGGAACCACCCCCGTCCTACGACGCAGTGATGAAGATCCAAGAAAACGGTGGTGGCGCGCAGCTCTGATGTTTGGACTTGTGCATGTTGTGACCGTTGGTGGACATGGTGGACCGTTCACAAGCTGTCTCACTTTTCATTGTGGTGCCTTTTAAGTGGGGCCGAGGACTTTTTTCAAAAGGAAAAACCGTCAACTTGATTGGCTTGCTTGAATTACGTGACCAAACTACTGTGGCTACACGGCACTTGTTGTATTTAACAAAGCATTCCCTGAGCACTAAGTGCCTTAGTGTTGAGCCTCTTTTAACACGGAGACCCTGCAAAATTAGCACATCAGAGTCGTAGCAAAAAACAAACAAACAAAAAAAAAACATCCAAAATGATTCACGTTTGCCTTTCACGCAGAACCCTGCAAAAGGGGGATGTTGCCCCAATCAGATCATTAGATGACGTCAGCGCCAAGATAGGAGGTGCGAAATTGAGGTGAGCGGTCTATTCGAGGAAATGCTATTAATGTCGGAATTCCAATATTTTCCCGTATAGTCTGAATGAAAGTGGAAAGGAGGGGTTTATTGGAGGTGAGGCATCTGAAGATTACGAATTGAGGCAATGTAATGTTTTTTTGTGTAAAATCTGAAGTTCTGAGGGAAACAACTGGAGGGTTGTATTTGAGGTCAGGTGTTTATTTGTTGAAGCAAACAATGCCTCATCCCGTTTTCGGATTATTAGACGGCATCAGTGCCGTGGAAAATAGGAGACTACTATTTGTGATGAGGCATCTGCAATCAAATTATTCAATGTCCTCCACATCATGAAAAATAAGAGGCATTATTTGAGTCAGTGTCCAATCGGAATGCACTAACACTGCTTACAGGCGTATTTAAATTGTACCCGGAGATTGCTATGATATGTGTGGAAAATAGGAGACTACTATTTAAGATGACGCATCTGCAATCAAATTATTCAATGTCCTCCATACCATGAAAAATAAGAGGCATTATTTGAGTCACTGTCTAATCGGAATGCACTAACACTGCTTACAGGCGTATTTAAATTGTACCCTGAGATTGCTATGATATGTGTGATGCTTTGACCCATTTTTTATCGCCGTGACGTCACCTCAAAGTATTCGATCAGATCGCTCTCATGTTATCCCTCATGTTACTGACGGCCACTAGGGGGCATCTTTGCATGATATCTGGGGATTGCTCGACTGACTGTTATCCTCGATTTGTTGTCGTCGTCGTTGTCTTGGCTGTTTCGCACAATTGCGTTCTATAAAACCTTCGCCACACATTTATTCGTGCTGATGTCATTTCTTGGTTTATTTGACATTGTTTAAAGAAGACAGAACGTTATTTTAGATTTCTACCGAAGTCAACCACTACACTCAAAAGTCCCCAAACAGCATTTTATTTTATTTTTTACAGTTTACGTTTGCAGTTCATTTGAAGTGTGTTCGTTTGTAATTGTTGTCTTGCACTCGACACTCTTTAGATACAAAATATATATATATAATAAAACTAATCCTCAAACTAATGTTTAAAGAAGACAGAACGTTATTTTAGATTTCTACTGAAGTCAACAACTACACTCAAAAGTCCCCATACAGCATTTTTTTTTTACGGCTTACGTTTGCAGTTCGTTTGAAGTGTGTTCGTTTGTAATTGTTGTCTTGCATTCGACAAACACTCTTTAGATATGAAATATGTATATAATAAAATTAATACTCAAAACTAAAAAAAAAACAACAAAATGGAGCAGTTTCCCAAAATAAAATGAAAACGAACAGACGTGCTCTAAAAACGAATGAAAACTATTTCAGAAACAAATGTCAATAAATAAGAACGTACGAATGAAATATCCCACACGATTATGACTCTGGGACCAAGGTGACCGATCAAAACCCAACCCTCCTGGCCTTGCTTGTCTTTGGGCTTTAATAAGCAGCAGAGTGGAACGTTAACCACCTTCCTCCTACTCCTACACACACACACACACACACACACACACACACACACACACCTCTCAAGCTCGAGTCTCACGGGGCCATGGTGGAAGGAAAACCGTACCGATACGGGCTAATCGTGGCCGGCTGGTGCGTGGTGACCGTGGGCCTCTTCATCATGATCAAGGAGAGGCCTCACGTCTACGCCACCATGTGTGCCCTGGGTGGTGCCATGGTTCTAGTCGGGACCGTGTGGAGCGTGTGCCAGTGTTACCCCAAGGTTGGTTCAGCGGCAACCGCAAGCGTGCTTTTGTTGACAGTGATGTGTGTGCGTGTGTTAGGTTGTTCTCGCTCCTGGGATGTGGGATAAGAACTTGGAGGATGTCGCATGCATTCGACAACATGGGAGGTACACACACGCGCGCGCACCCTCACAAACATGTGCGTTCTCTCCAATGCATGCGAACATTTTACATGATGATATACGGCATATGTTAATATTTCATATACTTATTAATGCATATTTTAATGTTTATATATTTAAAATAGATTCACTCGTATTGTAGGCTGTGTTTTTATTTTTCAAACCTCGATGAAGTTGTCATTTATGTCTCTTTTTATTTTGATGAAAGGGAAGCAGAGGCACCCATAAAGAGGCACAGCAGCTGCCCCGCGCTCCCCATGCTGTGACGTCATTGGGAGCTGGCCTTGATCCACTGGCCATAACATTAGGCACACCCAAACTGACCATGATCGTTTTTGGAAAGAGATTTTTTTTTTGTTACTCGAAGAGTGTCACGTGGCAATAATTTGTATGAAATATATATTTTGTAATCATTTACAGTACTCCATTCATTGGTCTTATTTCAGCTCCCATGCTACTCACGACCACCAGGGGGCATAATTGTATCTTGTCAGGGGATTCATGTACTGTGATAGATCGGGAGAGATCATTTGAATGAAGACAGCAGACGTCACTGGTAGCGACCTCCAATTTTGGAGTGATTGGCCCTTGAGTTGTAAGGACAGGGGGGGTGGGGAGTTGGGGTCGCACAAGAAAGCAAAAGCGACTAGACTACAGTGGAGTCGTGCGACGCTGCAATGACAGCCACGGTTGGCTGGCTGTTTTTTTGCACGTGTTGGGTGGTGAGCGCGCACGGCCGCACTCTCCAAATCTCGGCACCTGTGATCCGGGGGATAAACGGGACCAGAACCGAACCCGCCGCCGAATTTCTACAATGCAACAAGGTAAGATGCTCAAACATGCATCCAAATCATTTGCATATTAGACTTCACCTTTAATAAGTGCTTTCACTTAAAAAAAGTAGATGTATTCATGATCATTATTGGATCTGTAATTGTTGGTTTATTAGTACTCCTCGTTAGGGTAACTATATTTTTAAATTTCTTTCACATTCTTTTTTACACTTTCAATCTTAATTGTTTTTGCTGAATGTTTATTTTTTTTAATGGTGTTACTAATATATTTGGGGACATATTATTTTGGGATATAAATATTAAACTAATAACTTCTAAAGGGCAACAATTATTAAAACAATTCATCGTTACTTTTTCATTTTTTTATCTACAATTATTTTTATAACTCAATTTTAGCAGTATTCTTTTCGATCCACTTTTACCTGCCCGTCAATTTATTATTTTTCAAATATTACATTTCAGAATTCGAAAGATCACTTTTTGATTTGAGCATTATTTTTACATTTGTTATTTTTCAAGTTAATGTCATTATTATTTTAAATAGTGTTATATTTTCCTGCAGTGATTATGATTATTAATTATTCAGATTTATATCTCTCCATTTTATTATTTTTGGATGTTTGGACCATGGATATTTAAAAATATAAGATTGTTAATTTAGTATTTTTCTTCTTCATTATTATTAAGATATAAGATATCCTTTATTTGTCCCCACACAATTATTATGATGATATATTATTATTATATATTAATATTTAAACTATCATTATTATTATTATTATTATTGGGGATGTTGGAATAGGTAACTGTATCAGGCCAATACTGGCCGTATTTAAAGGTATCGTGTACTTATGGAGGCTGCAGATAACAGCTATGGATACTTCAGGTTTAAAAAAAAAAAAAAAAATCTGACATCAGGTCAGTCCTCCAAGGCAGCAGTTGCCGCTTTACTCCCGCAGTTTGTCACATCATCAGCCTCATGTTCGATGAAATTTTATACAGTATATCAAAAGTAGCTCAGGTATCGGTACGCCATATTGGTGAGTACTCAAAGGGTAAATACCGCTCTCTGTATGGCAAAGATGTGGTATTGAAAATCTCTCATTATTATAATTATTCGCAGGAGTACAATGTTTACAATGATGAAAATATTAATTGTAAAACTCTCCTGCATGTTTTGTACGAAATCAAATGTCATAAATGGACCTTAACTGTTACCTCCTCCAAGGTGGCGTGGCGGGTGCCGGGTCGTTACATGGTGATCCTGCATGGCGAGGGCGATGTGCACAGGAACATCAGGAAGCTGAGGACCACTGCGGCAAGGAGGGGCCACCAAGTCGAGGTCCTTCGCACCTTCTTCTTCTTCTCGGGGGCTCTGCGAGGCTTCCTGGTCAAAATGAGCAGTGATGTCATCCAACTGGTAACGTCTTGATTTGGGATCGCGATTCGAGTCGTGCAGACTTTCTTTTGTCGAGGAGCCAACAATTGGAAACCTTTTGGTCACTATTGGTGGGCTGACTCCGTGTTAGGACCTCACTTGCAGTGTGTTGCATAGCAAGTATATCCCAGTTCCCCCAAAGGACTTCTCGTCCATCTGACAATATGACAATGGCAGGAACAGCACGCACACCATTGCACTGTTGGAAAAGAAGACAGATTTCAGGGGGAAAAAAATTTTATCCAAATGTTAGAATAGTGATATTTTGTTGAATCTAGTGGGAAAACTAGAAAAGTGTTGCATTTTATGGGTCTCGAAAATGCCCCCCCCCCCAAAAAAAATCATATTAGCCCCAGATTAACATAGTATTTGGTGGACAAGTCTGTCATAACAGGGCACATGAAAAAGTCTCAAGGACCTATGCCCAAAATTGAACAGGAAGTTGGACATTTTGTTTGAACCGACCACTTTGGAGAGAATTTCAGTGCTCAAAATGTATTTTTAATTAAAAAAAGTTCGATCACAACATTAGTTTCATCGATCGACTTGAATTTGGATGGACATGTCTATCAAAACAAATGCATGTACAAGTCTCGAGGACCCATGCTTAAAGATGAACGTGAATTTGGACATTTTGGTTCGAAGCAGCCATTTTGGGCATATTTCAGGGCTTGAAAGTAAGGAAAAAAAAGCAGCCTTCAACACCACTTTTACAGATTGATGCAAAATTTGGTGGACATGTCTATCACAACAGGCCTCACAAAAAAATCACAAAAGGCTCATACCTGAAGTTGTCAATTTTGGTTTGAAGCAGACATTTTGAGCAAATTCATATTTGAACAGCGTTAGCGTACAATTCTTATACAGTGACGTGATTCGTTTCTTACGGCGAAAAAACGTTCTGCTCTACATACTTCTGTGTGTGTTCAGGCACTGAAGCTCCCTCATGTCCAATACGTGGAGGAGGACTCGTTCATCTTCGCCCAGAGCGCCCCCTGGAGCCTCCACAAAGACTTACACGAACGTCACTTTGGCGGCACCGGGGAAAAGACAACGTACACTCCGCCCAGTGTGTTGTCCCCTTTGACACACACACACACACGCACACACACACACACACACACACACACACACACACACACACACACACACACACACTGAAGAATTTGTACTTGCAGATGATGGCGGCATGATGGAAGTTTATCTGATGGATGGCAGCATTCGGGCTTCTCACAGAGAGCTGAAAGGACGAGTGGTCGCTACAGACTTCAATGAAATTCCGGAAGAAGATGAGGTCAAAGTACACACACACACACACACACACACACACACACACACAATGCATTTCTCTGGTCATATACCACATGGTGAGACATCAGTAGGTAAATGAGGTAACAGTGTGTAATTATTCTTAATCCGTAAACAACAAAACCTTTTATTTCTTTTTTGCGTTTCTCCAGGCTAGCCGGTGTAGCGCTCACAGCACACATGTTGCAAGTGTGGTAAGCGGGACGGACTCGGGTGTGGCCCGAGGTGCGGGCATCCACTTGGTGCGAGTGCTCAACTGTCACGGAAAGGGGTCCGTATCAGGTGCTCTGGCGGGTGAGGCTTCTTTGAAATATATTCATACCAATGCGTCACACGCCGCTGCACGATGGAGAAAATACAATAACGTCATTTGCCAAGTATAAGACACCCCCGAATATATAATACACACCCCAAAATCACCTTTAAAAATAATACAAATTCTTCTCTGTACTTACTATAATACGGTTCCCCGATTTGCTGGTATCCTTTTATCAGGGGAAATAATATGAATGAATAAAGATTCAAAGCATATACCAATAAAGTGTATATATTTTAAACCATTTTGGCTGAACACTTGTACAACACTCCCCCTGGATGTTGGATTTTTTTTGTCTTTTTTGCAAAATAAATAAAAAAGTAAATGCATACAGTACATACACACACGCATGCGCATTATTCATAGTAAACTACCATAGATGGATGGAAGGTGCCACTTGCTCCTCTTTTTTATTCGTGGTCAGGCTTGGAGTACATCCGGTCCACCGTAAACAGGAGTCCAGTCGTCGTGTTGCTGCCTTTTGTCGGTGCCTTCAGCCGCTCGTTGAACGTGGCCAGTCGGAAGCTGGTGGCCAGCGGCGCCGTGGTCGTCGCTGCAGCCGGGAACTACAAAGATGACGCCTGCTTCTACTCACCGGCGTCCGAACCTGAGGTGACGCCAAGTCGGGACACCAAGGGGTGGGGGGGTCTCAAGAGGCCTGGGGGGTAAATGTTGTCCTTTTCACCCCCTCTGTGCGTAGGTGATCACGGTGGGAGCGGTCGACGTTTCGAACCGGCGTGTGGCACTCGGATCTGGCGGCACTAACTTTGGGCGGTGCGTCAACCTGTTCGCGCCTGGTGATGATATTATCAGCGCTAGCAGTGAGTGCGACACCTGCTTCACGGCCCGCAGCGGAACGTCACAGGCGGCAGCGCACGTGGCAGGTTTGTGACGTCACAGTTTAAAATGACCATTACGCGAAGTTCCACTCCAGTCCTGTAGGTGGCCGTAATGAGCATTACGAAGTGGGTGTCAGCTGACAAACACTGGTTGGACACTGCCGCAGTCGGCCACATTGTAATTGAACTGGCTGTAAACTATATTTTGTGGAAATTGGTTACTTACTTAACCAACCAATAACTGTAATTGATTAAATCGATAGCTACCAACATTAAAAGAACAATCATGAAAAGAACAAGTTGAATTATTAGCTAACAAACTCAAAAACAAATGTGCTCATTACCGAGCTAACTCAACAAAACAAATATCAAAACTTAGCTTCGCATTCTACTGTTTATTTTATTGTATTATATATATATTTAATATTAAATATATTATTATTATTAGGCATCGCAGCTTTGATCCTGTCATCCAATCGGAAAGCATCGCCACTGCAAGTCCTTCATGCGATGCTACGCTACTCCACCAGCAGGATAATTGACGTTCGTGCGCTTATGGGACGACATCGTCTCAACACTCCAAACGCGATGGCCGCCATGCAGCATACTGTCAACAATATGACAAGTAAACAAGACTTTAATCAGTACTTTGGTAAACGCATGACTCACAAAAGGTTATAATGTGCTTTTGGGAGGAATTTCAAGATGAAGCTAAATAATTCATTATAACCTTTAAAGTGGTTGACTTGGCCCTCTGTAAGATTTTGAATGTGAATCTAACGGTGTGAGGTTGTATTACTTTTCCCATAACGAAGAGAGCGGAACTAACCAACCCTTAAAAGGTTACAGTGAATTCTAAATCCATCCTGCAATTTTGCCCAAAAGTCCACTATCCCCAAAATTTGGAGAGGAATGTATATCATTTTCCTGAAAAATTGTTCCATATTGTAGCTTGATTAAGCACAATAGAACACATATGGAGGCATGTACTCAAAAGTGATTTTCCTTCCTGCTTCTAGGCTTTGAGTGCCGAGTGTCAGAACCGCGGCTCCTCAGCTCCTGTCCTCCGGGCTGGACCCGGACTCAGTGGAGGCCAGAGGGCTGGGGTGACACCGTCTGCTGTCGCGGCAGAAGAGTGTAAAAATGTGGACCTAATGATGTGGCCAATCAGCAGCATGAAATCAAATAAGCAATCAAATGGAAAGCTTGATGAGGCCTGGAGGAGGCGGAACATAATCAACTTGATTGGAGTCGGCCTGATTAACATTTAAGACTGCATGTGGCTTTTTAGCACTAAACAAGTTCATGGAGGTAATTCTGTTATTTAGTTAAAACATAATTGTTTTATTTATTGTTGGGATGATTTGTTGTTAAAAAAAAATGTTTTCTAATTCCGAGACAACCGTTGCTGTGTGCTTTATTATTAGTTATTAGACAACCATGAAATTCTTAAAAAAAATAAAATAAAATTGTTTTCCGATAACATTCAAAAATAGCTAAGATATAACGAGGAACATGGTTTACGTTTGAGAGCACCAAAAATGATCATCAGAATCATCACATTGGCGCAAATATAAGGACCATACATTTAGTTATCAAGGTGCCGTACAAAAACTGCAAATAAAAAAGCTATAGTTGACACAAAGCTTGTGCATTCCAGTTTATTTTATATCAAATCTCCCCCTGCCCCTCCCCCCGTAATCAAACTGTCGTACAAATTAAAACGAGTGTTTTAACATGCTTGATACAGACAGTCACACAAAAAAAACGTGTGATGGCAGATTGTGGATTGTCCCCCCCGCCCCAAAAAAAAAAAAAAAAACTGACGGTAAAACACGCATGTATCATGGATGCCTCCCCCTATCATCATCATCCCGCTCCCTTTCCTTGTCATTAAAAATAAAGATTGAGTCAAGTGTTTTTTTTTTTCTTCCTTTGAACGTGTGAGAGGAAGTGCTCACAAAACAACACAGCGAGGGGGTGGGGGGGCTACTTTTTTTTTTTTTTTTTAAAGTCACCCTCCAACACACACACATCACATTAGGAAGTGGGGTGGGTCTGTGATCACATGACCATTCAAATTGTTTCCTAGGTCCTCGCCGTGCAAACATGGAACTGTCAAGCCTTCCTCCTTCCCCCAAACACACACGCACACAAACACACATTGGGCAGCGGCGGGGAGTGTTATCGGGAGATTAAGGCACTTCGGAACTCCCGATAACTGGGCTACACACGTGTGTGTATTATTGAATGAAAGCTACATGTTTTGTGTGTATGTGTGTGTCAGTGTGCGTGTTCAAGACTGCACCAAAGACAAAAAGGCAAATAAAAGCATGGCCGAGGTCACATGAACGTGTGTTTACGAGCAGGCGCGTGGATGTGTTACTGTACAGTCAAAGCTACATCTGCCCTCCTGTGTGGATGTGTGTGTTAAAGACGGTATGAAAGATACACACACAAAAAAAAAAAAAGGCAAATAAAAGCTTGGCAGAGGTAATATTAGCGCCCAATAGCAGATGATGTGTGTGTGTGTGTGTGTGTGTGTATTTGAGTCACGTCAAAGCTACACGTTCCTCCTTGTGTGTGTGTGTGTGTGTGTATATACATATATATATATCTATATATATAGATATATAGATATATATATAAAAAAAAAAAAAAAGGGAGCGCATAAAAGTGTGTTACTCGAAGGGGAGCTCAGTACTGAGTAGTAGTAGTAGTGTTGTTGAAATGAGCAAAGAAAACCAAAAAAGCGAGGAGGCTCTCGAGGAAGCACGTGGTGAACGTGGCAAATAAAGTGCATATTTACGACCCCCCCATACCAGCTCCTCATACCAAGCAAGTGCTTGTGTGTGTGTGTGTGCGCGCGTTTGTGTAGATGCGCAATTATGTGGAGGTTACTCTCGAGGACTTTTAAAACATTTGATATCTATGCAACAAATGGTTACTGAATTGTGTGTGTGTGTGTGTGTGTGTGTGTGTGTGTGTGTGTGTGGGTGCGCACTGGTACACGGCGCCTGACTTGTATGTGGGCAGCGTCAGTTCCCACTCTGTGAGGATGTGGATGTGAATGGCAATATGTGCCCTCTCTATGTGCTCTGTGACTGATTGGTGAGTTCACGGTCCGCCCAAAGTCAGCTGGGATAGGCTCCAGCACCCCTCCGCGACCCTTGACAGGATAAGCGGTATTGAAAATGGATGGATGGATGGATGGATGAATAGTGTGTGTGTGTGTGTGTGTGTGTGTGTGAGGAAAACAACAAACAAAGGGTAAAATGCCCACCCCTCCCCTGCTGTAAAAAGACGATCGATGGAGGAAGATTGCTGGCTTCCTCTTTAATCCAAACTGCCCTTTCAATCATCTCCATGGAAGTAATTCACGATTTTCTCAGTTTTTGTCATTCGTATGGTTTTCCTCTATTCTGTGTCAAGTTGTTCCGATTGCCGTGTTTTTTTTTTCTTTCCCTTCCCCCCGCTCCCACATGTCCTCGGGCCAATAAAAATGCCCCAAATTGGGTGGAGGGGCTGCGTGGAGCTCGGCCCGCGCGCCTTCCCGCAGGGTTTATCCCACCCCAAAAGAACTTAAGGGTCCACATCCTCCAGGTCGCTCTTGGAATCACCGAGCATCATGGGAGATTCGGAGCCCTGTCAAGGAGGAGAGTTGGGCTGAGTGCGGTAACAAAAAGGCACAAGATATACGATAAGTACACGGGCTGCACATAAAGCATTTCCCAAAAGTCACTACACAGTACACTTCCTTTTTTCTTGTTTTGTTTTTTTTTAGCTGCACCCAAATTTTCAGTGGGTGTGTGTGTGTGTGTGTGTGGGTGCGCACTGGTACACGGCGCCTGACTTGTATGTGGGCAGCGTCAGTTCCCACTCTGTGAGGATGTGGATGTGAATGGCAATATGTGCCCTCTCTATGTGCTCTGTGACTGATTGGTGAGTTCACGGTCCGCCCAAAGTCAGCTGGGATAGGCTCCAGCACCCCTCCGCGACCCTTGACAGGATAAGCGGTATTGAAAATGGATGGATGGATGGATGGATGAATAGTGTGTGTGTGTGTGTGTGTGTGTGTGTGAGGAAAACAACAAACAAAGGGTAAAATGCCCACCCCTCCCCTGCTGTAAAAAGACGATCGATGGAGGAAGATTGCTGGCTTCCTCTTTAATCCAAACTGCCCTTTCAATCATCTCCATGGAAGTAATTCACGATTTTCTCAGTTTTTGTCATTCGTATGGTTTTCCTCTATTCTGTGTCAAGTTGTTCCGATTGCCGTGGTTTTTTTTTTCTTTCCCTTCCCCCCGCTCCCACATGTCCTCGGGCCAATAAAAATGCCCCAAATTGGGTGGAGGGGCTGCGTGGAGCTCGGCCCGCGCGCCTTCCCGCAGGGTTTATCCCACCCCAAAAGAACTTAAGGGTCCACATCCTCCAGGTCGCTCTTGGAATCACCGAGCATCATGGGAGATTCGGAGCCCTGTCAAGGAGGAGAGTTGGGCTGAGTGCGGTAACAAAAAGGCACAAGATATACGATAAGTACACGGGCTGCACATAAAGCACTTCCCAAAAGTCACTACACAGTACACTTCCTTTTTTCTTGTTTTGTTTGTTTTTAGCTGCACCCAAATTTTCATCCAGTTTTGTGATCTTGCCATTAGTATTTTGATTTTATATGCTGCAGTTGGCTGTGGTGACAAATGTGGCATCAGAAAAAGAACAATGCGGCTCCTCGTCAGTCTAATTGCAGTCGTGGGTGGGAGAAAATTGCCAGTCACATGCTGCCTTCCTCCGAGTGTGTGAGTGTGCGTGCGTGTGTCATCCCACGAACCCGTGCGCGTGTGATCGGACCACGTGACGGCACAGTCGAGCGGCACACACGCTGGGCTTACCTGTCTTAGGCTGCGTTCGGCGTTCTCGTTGGCGGGGCTTCCGTCGGAGCCGTTGCTGCTGCCCGATTGCTCCTTCTCGTTCAACAAGGCCGTCGCATAGGCCAGCGTGTCCTTCACGGGTTCACATGCACCGACGCGTGAGTTAGGGTGGCAGCAAAACACATTTGAAAATAAAATACACACACACAGGCACGTGAATGTGTACATATGCGGACACATGCGCTGTACAGATGTAGCATATATTTTTTATCGTGCATATAAAAACTCTACACACCCTATTTGAAATGCCAGATTTTTGTAATGTAAATGGGATGTGGATTAAAAAAAAAAAAAAAAGTTCTATCTTGGTCTCATCAGACCAAAATACAAATAATATTCATCATTTGAAGTGTGCGTTTGCAAAACTCTGAAACCTCACAGTTAGCCTTGAACAAGATACATGCCGTCCATCAAGGTTGTCGAGCATCTTTAAATGTTTGCCTTCACGTCACTTTAACGTACAGTAGTGGCTGCTTATCTTTTAAGTCGCACAAGAACTTTGGATTTAAGCGTGTACGTACCTGCGCTGAAATAGTGCGCTGGAAGCTCTTATTGGTGGACGTCTCATTGGACACGTTACTCTGCGGCGTCCAATAATGTTCGGTCATCTGAGGAACAAATATGATTAGCGCGGTATTGTAAAACATTTAATATCCATATATTGTGGTTTTTTTAATGCATCTCAACGTGCCTTCTTCTGGAGCCACTGCACTGCCCAGCTCCAGTGACCAGACAGGTCCTTGAAATAATCCTTGGCTGGAGCACACCTGGTGGCAAAAATGTGGGGCTTTGTCTTACTTGTACATACTTTATAGAGTAGATGTGAATGGATCACTGTGGTTGTTACGAACTTCTGGGCCAACGTGACCAAGAACTTGACACACTGGTAGCAACGTCTGCTGTCCACGTTGTTGCTCTGGTGCATCAAAGCTGCGGACGCAAGGGACAGAGCTTCAGACAGCTTTTTAAAAAAATCACAGAGTAGGTTTTTATATGTATGCAGCTCGGTAAATTAGGAAGGGTAACAAAGCAGGTTGGCAAAATTGGATCAATCAATTTTTTTAATTTTAATATTAAGCACTTTTGGGTGAGATGATCAGTGACTTACCCAGCAGGCCTTTCTCTGACTCAAAGGCATACTTGAGCCTCTGGGACTGCAGAGGGTCCTCCACGACCTGAAACAGACCGACTGACGCTCATCAGCGTGTCAGTGACACGCACGTGTGTCACGCGAGGTTGCCTGACGACTCACCAGAAGCTCCTGCAGCATGTGAAAGATGTTCTTCAACTCGTGAGGCGGCGCCGTCTCCAGCTGCGTCTGCCGGGACGCAAACCGTTCACAATGGGTTAAAAATCAAGAGAGGCGACGTGGGAAGGTTGTGCGGCGGTTTACCTTGAGGAGCTGCAGTATCCCTGTGCCGTCCCCTCAAATTGTTACCTCTGCTGTAATGCTGGTGAATTTAACAAAGCACCAAACAAGAACCCGCCCCCCAAAA